TGGAAGTGAGAAACAGCTGGCAGAAACTGAACAGAAATGCAAAGATGATTTTAGGAGAACTTCACATCTGCCTCTTAAAGAGCCAAGGAAAGGTGAATTCCTTCCCTTTCAGAGAAACCCAACTCTGTTCCTGTGAGAAGAATTCTTGAGAGGCCATGCTATCACACATCAAAACCTAGGCAACTAACCCCAAAGACTGCCAGGCAGGAAGACAGTCTTTCCCAACCTATTGCCTTTCAGATGTTTGTAGAACAACTCCCAACAGCGCAAGCTAGCATAGCCAATGGATGGAAGTTATAGTCCAAAAGCATAAAAACATGTTTAGTCCAATCAAACATACAGGTGGGAGTGCAGCAATGCCTCTGGATTAAAATAACTTTTCATGAGCCAGGAAGCCTTACTTCTGGAGCAGAACTAGCACTGAAGGGCCATGTTACTTTGATGGTGTTCCTCAGCAGGAAGACCCTAGCTATGCACCATACGTGGCATTCTGGAAAGGCCTGTCCTTTAGGATTTGATTTCAACCACCCTTATCACATTCTCAACTCTAAATCCCAAACAGCTCTACTGGATGAACCACCTTGCAGTTAAAGTCCACTAAATGTGGTCACTGAATCAGCTACCTAACAACTGCTTATAACAACATCAAGCAATTATGCTCTCTAGACAGACATTTCACTACAATTTCACTAACGAGAAGCATTCCTAAGTTATTGAAAATACTTTATTGTATTTTTTTCCAGAAGAGGTTGGGTCATTATTCTTGTACAGAACATTTACAGGACAAGATGACAAAGAAGATACCCTGCAGTGTGCTTAGGTGTGCCGAGAACACTTGGAGAAACACAGAATTCATGCACAACTCAACTGACTTGCACAACTTTAATGAACACAGATGGGACTTCCTGGAAAAAGTAGTCTGGAAGAGAACTTCCTTGGGAAAAGTGGTTTGTTTCACTCGCTATGTTCAGATAAGCAGGCATGTGGATGAGATTCAAGGTAGTGTGTGCCTCTCAAAAGTGTACACATTTCAACTTCACAGAGAATTTGGTAGTTTTTCCTAAATCCTGACAATCGGCAATTCACATGACTACTGTACTCATGCCAAGCTCTAAATATCCCTGCACATACATTCTCTGTAAATTACTATGCAATTATGTAAAGCTACTGACATGCACAGGATTCAGACTTTTTCAAGCTGCTCTGAAGTGTGTTTTGCCTCTTGCTCATTTGGGAATTCAAATCATGGGTTGATTCTTTTCTGATCTATGGCTAGACAGCAATTACTTCAATATTTCTAATGTGGGACTTCAGGACTAATGGCACTGTGCAGCCTGCTAAGATCCTGCCTGTCTGTCCTAGGATCCCCAATGTGCTCACCAGGATCAGGTGTCCCGATATGGCACACTGACAAATACCTCCACATAAATAACTCCTTGGCTACATTAAATATCAGTGTGGTGGTAGGTTTTTATTTTTAAGAAATGTAAAATAGGTTGATTCTTCAGTTGGCATGTCTTCTTTTCAGATGTCTTAATAAAATGCTTACTGCCTTTTTGGCAACCGACCCTTTGGTACATAACATACTATAGAGAGCTGGCACAGAGTCAAGCCTTCTAAGGTCATATCAACAGGCTAGTGTATCTTGAACCCACTCCAGTTAAACTAGTATTATCATAGAAATGCCATATAGTTGTTCTCATGGGTCCCTGCAATGGGTAGATGTGGTGGGTGAACTGCTCTTGTGCTAGAGTTCTGAATTATTTCATTGCTGTTTATTAACTCTAATGTTAACCATTCCTAATCATTTGAAGCAGGCTGGGATGAAAAAGTAACTGAAGTGAATAAGGGTATTCTCTTAGTCTTCGGAGACAAGGGTAATTAAAAGGAAACACACAAGGACAAAAAACCAAAAAGTTCCAAAGTTCCATAGTGTGGTATATTCCCTTCACTTCCTAAATGCTCAGGATACTATTACCCAATGTCTCATGTGGATATTGTATGAATATATATTGTATTCATATAGTGTATGAATAAACTCTGAAGTGCTGTTTACTCTTTCGGCACACTGCAAGAGGCTGTTTATGGTGATAAAAAACAATTTTGTTCAACTGCTTGATTCTATATGCCAAGTCCAGAATAATTTACATGACAAACCAGGCTGCAGCTCATGGTCCCCATGATGTATAAACACCACAAGAGAACAAAGCAGCTTTGAGCTTCAACTTGAACAGAAGGCACAAAACTGAAATCTGACGAATTATATTGGTTTGATGCTAAACAGATAAGGTTTAAATCAGCAGTTCTCAATCTGCTGGGTGCCCTCAAGTGTCCACATATCAGAACCCATGCAGGGAGAAGATTCTATAGAAACTGATGCCAGAACATCATTCCCATCATGACATGGAATTTCCAGTTCCAAAATTGCTATTCTTAGCCTACAGGCTGCAAAAGAACCAAACACATGACATATTCTGGACACAGAAGTATCTCCTGCTATTCCTTCTGAGGAAGGAGTCCTGTGTGCCCTATTTATTTGATTTGTACCAAAAATGGCACCCAAGCCAACCAATTCTTGTCCTCTTCTTATCCCAACAGTGTAGTAAAGCCCCTAATCCAAATACAAAGCATCAGACTGTATGCATGCAGCTTTTGTGAAGATTCCATGCAGAGATATGCAAATGGATGAAGGGGAATTCACGAATCCATAAAGGTGACAAGTTCAAAATGTTTGAGGAAAATTATATCTTGTCAGCTGTGATTCTACATATGTTTGTCAGACAGCTTATTCTGATGCCAAATCTACCCAACACAGGTGAAGACCACAGACCCTTCTCAATGAGCTTTGTACCTCACTCTTACCCAAAAAGGATGCTGTGACAAGGATGCCCAACGCAGTACCTATAGGCACTTCCAAGGGCACCTATGAAAGATTTACCAACTAGGTGTTCAGAAACTCTGGATTGTTAAAAGAAATGCTATTTTAAAATATACATATGGATTTGTATGTATCCAAAGAAACAAATGAATTTGTATGAAAGGCATATAATTTTCTAGCAGGTATATGGAGGCTTCAACAAAAGTAGATCAAATATCCAACTAAGTATCCATTTGAAAGTGTCAATTAAATGCCATCCATTCAAATGTTGAAAATACATTAAAGTCCCTAAAACACTTCATTATAGGAAGTGGATGTCTATCCTTCCAGTGGTGTAAATAAAGGTATTTTAGTTCTCAAAAAGGTACAGAGAATCAATGCACGCTATGTGTTGGTTAATTTTCATGAAGTAGGTAAATAAATGAATAGTAAAGACTGTTCCAGTAAAAACTTTAACTGTGACTATAAAATGTAATGCCCCCAGAAAGAAGGCTACTAGACATCACCAAACATCTGTTTAAAAGAAGCATTAGCTGTATTGACCCTCCTGCAATTACCAAACTAGATGATCCCTTATTAAAGAGAGACTGTCATACCCAGTAAACAGAAAACAAAAAGGAGCAACAGGGAAATGCCAAAGTAGCAACTCACTGATTAGGCATTTTGTGGTATGGCCACAGCAGTTTCTCAAATTCCAAAATGTGCCCACAATTCCAAAAAGGCTGGGGACCACTACATTTAAACATCTTATACAATTAAGCTTTATATTAAATTGTATTATAGGAAGCCCAGCACACCCTGTACACATACACACATTCTTTTGAAGAGGGCACTTTTCAGTTACTTGTGTCCCTAAAATGCATTGTCAAAGTTCTCATGCCTTATTTCAACAGTAAGTTTATAAGGACAGACTTGAGATTTTAGAAGCATATGGCACCATGCCTACATCTCAGACAATTTATAATGACCCTTGCTCATCTGAATAAAGTTTGCAGTATTATATAGCATTCAATTTTCTTTACTCTGGACTGTTCATATACTCTACAGGGAATGCCACCTTTCAGCAGTCAGGTAATTCACACAGAAGCATCCCAGACTTTCTGGGGTATTTTTCCCAAACTGTTTCTTTGCTTTTCTTTTTGCTATAAACCACCACTTATGTAACATTAGCCAGACAATGAGCACAACTTCAGCTATGAGGGGTAACACTTTATCATACCATTTCCTAAAGCAGAACTCATAATATTGAGCTATACAGCTTGATAGTGTAGTAATTCTTAAGATCTAACAGCTACCTGGAATCTACTTTCAGAGTGACCTTGACCTCTCCTGCTTCCTATCTGCAGATGAATCACTGAAGTTTCCTTTAGGAAATGATTAAGAACCTGGTTACCAAAAACCCAGAGCTCACATACAGTAAAACTCACCATGCATATTCATGATGTACCCAAATGAAAGTAAAATGTAATACTAATAATTAAACATTGAAAATGAAGGGTCACAAAAGGGGAAGACGTAATTAAGAAACTTCCCCCAATTCATAGCAAAATGTTCTTTATACCAGTTTTATCAAAACCTTTCACATCTCAATGGACAATGATCTGTAACTGCCTTTACACTCATAAATCAAGTTCTCTGAAGTTGTCCCAATCTTGAATCCTTAAATGCTGTTGGATTACAAATGCTACCATTCCTGCCAACCTGGCCAGTGGTCAGGGATGATGGGAGATGTTGTCCAACATCACCTTGGGCCTAGTCTTGGGACCCATTACAAACCATTTTCTGGATAACTGAGATAGCTCCTATCTTTTCCACATTTGCTGTTGGCTGTGCAAACCAAAATATTGGTGGTAGTTAGCCATTTTGTAACAGATTCATTTACACTCCCTTCTTTGGCTTAATGCTCAAGTTTCAGCCTGCCTTGAATAAAACCAGGTTTATACCCACATTTCATAGCACCAACTTCATGCTAAACCTACACATATGAAGAAAAATCGAGTGCAATACGATAAATGTAAAACTTATTGGGGGAAATAGGAAGGAGGAAATAAAGGGAGGACTCTCATCTAGAAATGTAACCCAAAGCATAATAAGCATCTTAAACATCAAATTCCTTACATACCTTGGAGGGATTTCCCCAAGCCCTGGCCCAGCTTCCAGCCATGCTTCTGTAGCAAGCGATGTCCAATATTATCCTGACAGACAGAACAGAGAAACAAACCAAAAATATTCCAATAATATATTCTTCTCTTCCATGGTTTTAAACACATGATGAACAAGAGAATTTTCTACATATATGCATGCAAAAATAAAAATAAAAAACTACTTATGGGCAATATATGCCCAATAAAAGGGAAAATATATTTACATAATAAAAACAAAAACAAAACAAAACACCTGCTGGCAAGATTTTTCCACAGGAACAGGGTTTCAGGAAGGGTCATCACACTTTCTGATGGTGTGCTGGGCAACTTTTGTGCATAACAGGAAAAAAAGCAATATGGGAGAAAATAAAAAATGACATTTAAAAAGCATAAAATCAAGCTAGTTATACAATCATATCCATCACCTAGAGAGCACCACTTGATTTGTGCAATGAAAAACTAACAATGTGTTTAGTCTATTTTTTTAACTTGTTTGTGTGTCAGACATTGAAGAGACCAAGTTACTTTGTTAAGTGTCAGACTTGCCCCCACCACTAAAAACCAAAACACAATCAGAACAAAATCCAGGCTAGACTTGATTGGTTTAAAAAATAATAAATAAATAAATAAATAAATAAATAAATAAATAAATAAATGTTATATTTATATATAAATGTATATATAAATTATATATATATATCATGCAGCCAATTATTAAACTGAAAAAATACAGTGACGTTAGTAAAAAAACCAAAATAAATTTAAAATATTAACCAATTAAAAGGAATATCTATATATCTGTGTGTATATATACATACCCACACACATATGCATATATATATATACACACACACAGATGGATAGACAGACAGATAGATAGAGTAAAATGAGCTCAAGCACAGACTGGGTGATGCATTTCACATGTAAGCTAACAGAAATACTAAGGTGTTAGAATGGAACAGGCCTAGCAACAGGTTAAAACAGCAAGGAACCATTAGTGCATGTAGGGAGAAAACACAACAAGCATAATGTCTCATCTTTCAAAAAAGAAAATGAAAATGGACTGAAATTAATGTAAGCGGAGGGGAAGTGGTGCAGCAATTCAGTGTCAGCTGTTTGTATAAGGATTAAAGAAAATAAAAAGTTTCCCACTATGGTTAAATGCTGGGGAGGTACTGGGACTCAGGCATGCTTAGAAACCCTGCTGTTAACATTTGGTACTTGGGGGAATGCCTTGACTATTAAGTTCTAAGGAAATTCCATTCAGCCTACGGAACTGTCTGAGGCAGTTCTCTCCAACCAGCCCACAGACATAAACATGACTTATATAGGATATGCTCTATTAGGCTAGGACTACAGGTCCCAAGGGAAACCCTGAGTTCTCAACCCCAGGTAATCTTATTCAGGGGAGAGGGCCACTTTCAAGGAGCAATCTGTGGGTGCTCAGCCCTTCCCTGATCAGTTTCCTGAGCAACCCCCTCCCTGATTGTTTTTACAATGATTATTTTTCTGCACAGCTGGGCTAAGAAGCAAGCCAAACTAACAAGATAAAGGCAATGGGGCAGGGTGGCTGGATAAGAGGAGAGATTACTGAGGAAAGATTAAGGCTACCTCCTACCTCTCACCATCCTGCCCTGAGCTTCCTCTTTCCATCTCAGTGACAGGAATATTCTTATGTAGAAACATTTAGTTCCACTTTCAAAGTTACAGCTCAGAGTTAAGCACTGAATCTGATCTGGGATACCTCTGCAGTTGAGAAAGGAGAGAGTGGCCTTGACTATTTGCTTTTTACCAGGAAAAACTTATCAGTATCCTTCTTCATTCATTCCAGAATTGAGCCCTCACCTTAATGTCGCATGTAAAGCAGCCTCCCCCAATCTGGTGCCTTCTAGTTTTATTAGATTTATCTCCTTATCATCTTTACCTGGCTGGGGATTATGAGAGGTGCCTTCCAACACTTTTGGAGGACAGTTCATTGGGAAGGCTGGCTTAATGCTTACACAGTTCTTATCAAAAGAAGAAAAAAGGATTCACTAATTGTGATTTGCTAATTAATTCTGAATTATGCATTGTGAGGAATGGCTCCTTCTGTGCTTACCAAAACCCTCTTCTGAAGCCTTGTATTTTTTAAATTTTGTGTGGGTGACATTTTTAATTTCATGAAGAATGCCACAGGGTTGCGACAAACTGTACTATGCTAGCTGATATTTCTGTGAGATACGGATAGGAAGGATGTTGGCTTTACAAACTTATTTCAAAAAGCCTAGCCTGGAGTGCAGTTTACATCCCACCCTCAATTCCTGTTCAAACAGATCAGAGAATCTTGTGAAAGGCATGTCAATTGTGCAAAAGCCTCCCGGTCCCTTGTTTCTCATGTACCATTTGGGCATATAGCCTAATTGTAAATAAGATGGTACCACTACAGCATTAAGTCAAATAAAGCTCAGTTACTGTGCTATGGGTTGATTTCATCAAAGTCACCCTTAGCACTGTGGAATTTGACTAAATGCAGAAAACCTATATAAGAGAGAAAGCTCAAAATTTGTTTCCTACATGTATTCAATTAATTGCTTAGATCCTAGTTGATACAGTTCGTGGAATTAAAATAATTAGTGTGTTTTGGGGCTGCACTTTTGAAAAGAAACAGTAAGCCTGGCATTCTTGAGGAAAAAAAATAACGGGTTGGATCCAGATTAACTGAGTTGCATTAACTGTCAGTACAATCAACAGGACTCAAGTCAATCAAAACAAACTTTTCACATTAATTTCAATGGCATGTAAGTGCTACTAATTTACTCCAGATCCAAACCATAATTTAAAATAATATGAACAAGAAGGAAAGACTAAAAAAATGGGAACCAGTTTATTCATGAAGCAATTGTTTTCTCTCCCTTTTCTAAATAAATGATAGCAATGCTATGTTGGATATTTTATTATTTATACTGGTTGAAGCCAAAAGAACTGTTGCTAATAGTGGATAAACAACTGATTTAAATAAAAATCAAGTTTAAAAATATCTAACTTTTCCTGATATCTGAAGGCAGTTCTTGGACTTACTACTATACTTAAGAGCGTCAAATGATGACCCACTTCTTCACTGCTACCAGTTATTTCTTTGATACCTCCAAGCACTTCAGTGGGCAAACCAGACTTTCCTTTTGTGTTGTTAGCTTTCTGATAGTATTAGCTTTCCAACAGAAGCAGAAAGTGATAAATCACATTTTTTAGAAATGTTAATACTAACAAACAAAAGCACAAGATTCTACGGATATGTCAATTTTAACTGACAATCATTTAATTTGCGTATAAGCAATAGGTGCTATTGAAATCTGTGCCATAGAACAAGGACATACATTCAGACCTTGTTCAGATGTAATGCATTCAGCAGCAATTTGTGGGTTAAACATGCCCATGTTAAGCCAAGTTCAGGGTTTGGATATCTCAGCAACAAATGCAGCATTCATAAATTCTTACTGGAAACTTGAAATGGTTCACATGCACCATGTGTTAGTTAACCCACAAACTGCCACCAAACATCACTGTTATGTCTGAACAGCCCCATGCTTTGCAGGTACAACATCCCACAGATTTTAGATAGCATTGTTGGGAAGATTTCATTGCCAAAAGCCCTGGAGAACACTTGCCAATACAAAGTAGAAAGTACTGGGCTAGATGGATCAATGGTCTGATTCAGCATAAGACAACTGCAGATGTTAAGTGTAACATTAATGTCAGTGCATAGGTGCATTTTAGCTTGCAATCCTACACACGCTAGCCAGTAAAAAGCCTAACTGAAATCAGTGGGCTTGTCTTCTGAGTAAATATGTATAGGACTGAGCTAGTAGTGCAGCAATGGTTATTATCAGGCAGTTTGTTTTGATTCAATATAAGTGGGACAGACAACAAAAATATTGCAGAATGTCCTCATGCGCTAATTCTGGTTCAGAGCTCCAAGCAGCCATGCCTTCCTTATGAAACAATAACCTTTTAAGGACTCAGGCAAACTAATCATTCCATTCACAGTTTTGTGGCTTCTGATGCTCTGTGAGCATATCCAGTCCTCCCTGGGCTGGTTTTGGGAGCAGGGATTGCTCACTTTGGTTACTGGGCTTTTAGAGTGTACTTCTGCAAAGCAAGTAGTCCCCTCTGCAAGACTCTTTTGTTCTCAGTGGTTGTCCCCCACCCCCATTTTAGTTCCATTTCTGCCAAGCAGGGGCACTGAGTTCACTGTTAGAGGGAGTGATTCAACTTTTATTATTGAAAATGCAGCATCTTTTGATTAAGTTGTTAATTAAAAATACATCAACATCAGGAAGACAAGAAATTCTGACAGAAAACAGCTGCATTTGTATTCCACTCCTGCTAAAGGAAACAGTTATTGCCCAGATGAGACATTGTGCTCAATGTGTTGTGTTATGAATGCACTAAAAAGAAACAGACAAATGAAGCCGTTATGCTATTTCCAAAAGCGGTGCAGGTGGAGTGAAAGCATTTCCATACGAACCTGGCTTTAAAAACTGGGCTGTCAAAAGAACAGTTAAACGTAACACAAAGTAAGAAACTGTCCAACCAACTAATAGTAATTTGATTTTTAATTTGTTTGTTTTGTTTTCAATTCACTGCTTGCAAGTATTGTACTCATTAAAGAAGAATGGAAGCATAAAATAAATACAAGACCAGTTGGGATTTTAAGCGCTGCGACTGACATAGTGAAGGTGGGGGGATTGGAGGAAAGAGAAACAAACATAAGAAGGGAGAGAAAAACTAAGGATGGTTATACACATTAGCACCACACTTACCAAGCCACTCAAGAGGCTGAGTGCACTTCAACATGTAAGTTAAAGCAACCATTTCCAGCCTGTATCCACTCCATAATGTTAAAGTGATGCACAAGCAACTCTTAGCTGAGTAAAGTAAACGTTCACAGCAGAGAGGTACAACTGTTTCTACAGGATATAGGTTATGTTATTAGATTTCTTTCAGGCCGCCCCAGTTTGACTATGTACAGAGGGAAGAAAGACAACATGATGGCTTGTGAATAATACAATTCAAGTTAAATTGGTTGCAGAAAGGTAAAGACTGAGAGGTACTCTTGTTCTCTCTTGAGTGGCTCCATAAGGGATGCTGTGTATCAAGGAATTCATAAGCAGGAAGACTAGGTGCTAAAAAGGGTGATCCCATGCAAAACAGAAGCCCCCCACCCAACAAAAAACAAAAACAAAACCAAAATAAAATCCTAGAGCTTACCGCATATGACACAATGATGTCAAGAGAGAATGCCCAAGAGTAGTGCTACATCATTCAACAGATCTAGAAAGCACTATATTGAAAGCCCTTGGCAACATATGAGCTGCTGCTAAATGTCAAACTGGCAGCTGTGTCACACACTTTGGATCCAAGGGAGTCCACAGATCAATATGAAGCTACTGAGGAGCCTCTCTTTTTCTACCTTGCAAGTCGGTTTGAAATGAATCTTCTTTGACTAGAATTAACGTAATAGTAGTAGTAGTAGTAATAATAATAATAAGCAAAGCGGCATCTTTGCTGGGGAGGACAGAGCAAGAAGATGGAACTAGAAAACATAAATTATCCAGAAAGCCATGCTTCCAGTCTGAGATGGGGAGAGCCTATCCTACTTTTCTGACACAAAGGGAAAGAAAGGCACCATCTGTCTGCTTACTGTAATACCGCTATTGTGGTCCTTCACTGCTATGTATTGCTACAACCAATTCAACCATGATTCCACTGAAAATTGATATCTGGTTTCAAGTGTAACATCCATGAAGAGTTTTGGAGAAAGCCTGACCTGAGTTTTCACCAATGTGTTACTGTTTCACACATGGCCATCTTTTAGTCAGCACCTCTATGCCATGTCAGCATGGAAATGAATAGCTTGAAATATGTTATGCCTAACCAGCCTTATCATGGGATAAAGTTAAAGGACAGGAAAGGAAGGCAGTCTGGAGGCAACCCTCCCCCCATTTTTCTTGATATTTTTGTTTGGGTTTTTTTTTTTTTTTTGCAAAGAGAAAGAAGTGGTAAGGACATTTTGCCTCCATGCTCAAGACCACCATTAATGTGGTAGGATTTGCTCTCTTTCCCTCCCTTACATGAAGCTGTAAAGGGGAATCCCATGGTTCTGTGCAGTATATAGGTCCAATCATTGAATTCCTCCCCCATCAGAACTGAAGGTAGCAAGTCCTGAGGCTTATCGATGGAGATTCAGATTGCGCTCCAGCACTAAGTAAAGGAAGGGACACCAGGGAAATCCATCTGCCCCAAAAAGACAAAGCAGTGAAGGGGTACTTCATCCTGAAGAAACATTCCAGTCACCCTTGCTCTGAGCAACCAGTGGACGAAGCAGCTATGTAACCTAGAACAGGTTGCTTTCACTTTACACCTACTTCCCAAATTGACAGGAACTGGGTCCAGCTTTCTTCTTCTCACACTGTAAATATCCCTCATTTATGAAGACATTTACTGAATGTGCAGTAACCAATTGTATCAAGTACTTGAAGTGTGCTTTTTTCATTTCTGTTTGAGCAATCCACACCATCAACCTTGATAGCTGGCCAAAGTTACACAGCTCTAATGAGCTTGTCCCAGCATGGAAATATTTATTTTACCTATGAAATAATAGCCAACTGAAAGGATTTTTGGTAAAAGAACAGACAACATTAGGCCCCTCCAAGCTCCTGAATATTCTTCTGAATAAGCTCGTTGGCTGAGCTTCAAACTACATATATTATCAACAATGTAGGGTGTGGCAGTATCACTGACAAGATGGGGATGAAACACAAACTTGACTGGAAGCACAGCAGTTAGGAGGAAATGCATCCCCCATGGGGCAGAGTAAGATCGCTTTTCCTGTTCTGGTACCAACTGCTCAATATAATCTGTATCTTATTCTTAACCAGTACAATGATCTGTAGACTCCCAAACCAACCTTTCCCATCCACTATCCAGTTCCATGTTGTAGCAATACAAGTCAGGACCCCCTCAGAAGATAATGCTGCAGAGCCATATGTGAATTCAACTGTGTTCCCAAGCAAAGCCATTCCCCAAAGATATTTCCAGGCATGCTTTCCTTTGAGCTTTATATAGCTTCCAGATCTAAGAGATCTCAATTTAGAAGCATAAATCCACTTATGTTTCAGTAGGCTTTACTTACTACCATTAAGCTCTTGTGGTAAATCCATTTTACATTTCCATTTACACTGAATATTGGATTTATTTGCCGCTAGTCAGGAAAAAAAAATCAGCTTTCAACATTGCAGAGCAAAAGAAAATATTCTGTGTTATATTGCTTTCTGAAAGATGAGTATAAATGCTTTAAGCATTTAATTTTGAAATGACTAAAACACAGAAATAAACTATAATTGTAACCAAAACACATTTTAACATAAGGTCTTTGAAATATTTCTGGATGTAGACTCACGTGTTCTAGTAACACTGGTAACTCTCCAAAACACTGACCAAAGCAGTTAAGTGTCCACTGGACAAACACCTTCCTGGTTAGTATGGTTCAAGAGATTAAGGTTGCAATCTGATACACACTGGGGAACTAGTTCCACAATGTTCAGTGGGGTTTATTTCCAACCAGATACCTATAAGATTGTACTGTAAAGCTTTCCATGTCATTGATTTGTCCAGCATCTTTTGTTTAAAATCTGGACAAAGCCTGTGTGTTTAATACGTAATGCATTTAAGCATTCAGGCAATTTTAAACATATTCAATTGGATCAAGAGGTATTTTACTCTAAGAAACTTCTGCTTGCTTTTCTTGTAAACAGTAGCTGCCTTCTAAGTTGATCCCATATTTTATTGGCTACTTTTGCAACTAGGATTGATATTCAGGTTTACTGACTAGAGGCAAATATTCTATGAAGCTAAGTATCACTGTGTAGCTGGAGGCTATCCTTACTATGGAAAGTTATGTTAGAAAGGGCAGGAGTAAGGACTGCTTGCAATTAGAACTAGCTACCTGGTTTCACTGCAGGCACCTCTAGACTGCAGGCAGTTCCAGAGCAAAACAAATATTCATTAGTGGCAAAAGTAACTGCCTAGGACTATCCATAATTCCAACTTACTTGCTGCCAAGATGCACCACCTTCATGTGACTGGGCTGTCTGCTTTCAAACACCCATGTGTTAGATCAGATTTAGGTTAAGAAGAAAGGGTTTATGTATTTGGTTGAGAGTAAAAATGCATGCAAATGTACTGCAAATGACACATTAAATTACATTGAATTGGGAGAAGGCAAATTTGGCTGATTTAATGACGTTAATGCTTTTTTTTTTTTTTAAGTAGTGGCCATTTTTAGACAGTACTCGTATTTTTCCAATCAAACGACCAAATCTTTTCTGTCTGGTCAAATACATTACATTACATTTACCTAAAATCCTTCCACAAATGCTTGTGCTATTCCACAAAGTAAACTCAACAATTCTTTAAAATTATTTAATGGCTGCTCTAGTTTCATTTTTTTCAATCAAGTAAGAACTGGTACAACAGCTAAACTGTTAAAAGACTCACTGATTACAGGCAAAAAAGGAATAATTCGGGCATGAATTGAAAAGTCAGTGGCCCTAAAAACTGATGTATGCCTTGACCTTCAAGAACTGGATTCAAATTCCTTTTCATCCAATGGCTCACTTGAATGATTCAGTCTCAGAGTAAACTGAGATTATAGATAACGGCATGGATCTAAACTAAGACCCCCATTCCTTCAAAACCCTGGTTTATTATGGATAAGCAATACTGCTTGGAGTCTCCTCCTGTAAGACATTTGTCTAGTATGACAACCCAAACCTCTCGTTTGTCTCTTCCCCAGAAAACCAAAGGAAAAAGATATGGCTTACTATTTGATTATACTGCTTGTAAACAATGTACTACTGCCTGCAAACAACATAATGTGTAAACCCTCCCTAAGTTTGTTCCACTGATTTCAAGCAAGGCATGGAATAACCAATTCATTTTAAAGTCACCTAGAGTCAACTAACAATCTGGATCTCATCAACTATAAAAATGATTATTCCAGGTTGATGCAAAAATTCACTAAGTTTAAAGCATTTGCACACTGTTAAGACCTGCATAAAGATTTTAACATGTCTACTCACAAGGAAGAGGATCTTGAACTCAAAACAGGTTTTTAAATGTTTGGGGTATTCTGCTTATAAAATTAAGGTTTGTTTATTTCTCAGAGCAGTTAGTCAAATATCAATTAATTTAAGCACTTAAGATTGTTTCATAATTGCTACATGCATCGATTGCCTTACAGTGAGATAGTCCTATGAGAACAAAAGGGGCTTCCCTATTCTCTGCTACAGAAAGGGATAGAGTACCTTCTGGCAGCAGGAGCCCTGTGATCATGTAGGGTTGTAGATCAGAGTAATCTGCCCTATACTGAGGCTGTGAGGGTAACACACAATACTGTTTCATGACATTTGCACAGAGGGAAGTTGGCTTTGCATTTCAATTGGTGTGTGCTTGCACGCACAGGCACAGAGGCGCGCACACACACAAGCAAGTCTGAATTATTCAACAGAATCAAATGGAAGTGCATGCGATCATCCTTCCCACCCGCTCTGCAGCATTATTTCACGTGTCATCCATGACCGCCATGCCTAATTCTAGCATCATGCCAGCACAGTAAGACAGATACTGAATGCAGTGTTCACTGGACCAGAAGAACAGAAAAAAGAAATGGGGAGAGGAGAAGAGAAGGAGGAGGAGAGGAAACCCTAGAAAAGAAATTAAAAATGCAGACCGTGCAAATACAAACCAGGTCATGGCTGCTTAGCTAATTTGGGCCAACTGCTGTGGAAGAAAAAACGTCGAACACCCCAAGTTGTGTAAATTTCTGTGAACAACTCACACACACAAATATGCACACAAACACCAACCTACTACATAAGAAAGCAACTGTGTTTGTGTCTGCATGTGTGTACATATATACGTGTGTACGGATACACACACACACGCAAACACATGTACACACAGCTTCTTTCTTAATGCTGCAGATTTTTAAAAGCATTCATGAATGCAACAGGTCTGAAAACAGTCTACAGTCAGTACTCTCTAGACAATAATATTAACAGGGCTGGAATAACTTTAAAGTTGCAGTGGCTATTGAGCAGGGCAAGAGCTGTGTGGGGTGATAACCAAAGACTGATCTTGAGTGGGGCCCAAAAATTAAAAACATTGTGGGCATTTTCCTAGCAAAAGGCAAGATGCAGGGACTGGGTTTGGAGTAGTGCTAACCCCAAAGGCAAGCAAACCACCCAGAACCACTGGCTAGCATAATGAGGGACAAGCTGCATTTTCAGTCAAGGGTTCATCTACTCTTGTTTGCGTCTCCCTAATAACAGCTTTTGCACAACCTGGCTTTGCAGCAGCGTAGAACATGATGAAGAATGCTACTGTCAGAGATCCACAGGGTCTGAAACTCTTAAGAAAGGATCTAAAGAAATTGCCTTATATGTGGTCATATCAGCAGATCAATAGATAAACTTCTCCTATGCCTGCATAATGCTGACAGTCAACAGCATAGGAGGTATGTTCCTAGTCTCTTGCTGTGGAATTAGTTCAGCATTATTTCAGGTATAGAGAAAACTTGTCCACCATCTAAACTCTTTTTCATGGAATTCACCGATCTTAGGGACCATGAACAGCACATGGATAACATGCCCAACTGCCATGTTTTCTTTTAGCACAGCTTCATGTTGTAGGTGTGTTCCAAGTGCAAATTAATACAAGGACAATTGCAAATTTGTGGGAGGGGGAGAAAGAGGAAAGAGGCAGAGGCATAGAAAGCCTAACACTGCCCAGAGAATGCTTATAAGAAAGGGAAATCAGAAGGTCAGCAGCCTCTATGTACTGTCAAGCATACACACCAAGGAAGGATGGGGCACAGAATTCAGAGGCAGAAGTAACGGAGGGATTGGATATCCTACAATCCAGCTCTGAATATGCCTGGGAGAGAGGGGTTGTTTAGTTTTCATTTCCACAGCCTCATCCATAACACCTTCTATGTATCCATTTCATTTCTTTTCCAGCTGCTACTTCACTGAGGTTAAGTCAATGAGCCAGATGCAAACATTAAATGCTGAATCTCTAAAATGTCTTTAGCTGCAGAAACTACAGCTATCCCATGTTGGAGGGAGAAAACAATGCACAGATATGACATGAGAGAGTAAAAAATCTGAGATGTTTAAAAGGAAAAGCAAGCAAAGGACAGCTCTTCTATGCCCTGTTTCCAGCCTTTCCCAAGAAAATTCAGATAAAAGAGATAAACGCCAATGTTTTTATCACTGCCATTAATGCAACTTATTTATACTGAGCTCTTCTTAATGTTGCTTTGCTTGTTCTGCATTCTCCTTCCATCTGCTAACAAAAATTTGAGTTGAGAAGGATCAAATTGTATTTTACTCCTCAGTTTCCAGTAAGGTTCATAAATAAAAGCAAGTTGGATATTCAATATAGGGCAGATTCAGCAGTTATAAATGATGTATTACTATCTCAATCTTATGGTGAATTATAGCTTCCTTCCTTCCTTCCTTCCTTCCTTCCTTCCTTCCTTCCGTAAAGCTTCTTAGTTGGGAGACATCTCTCATATTTAAGTAAGACATGCAAATATACTAACCCTTCGCTCCATTCACTTAATCTAAAATAAGATCTGAAGTTGGCTACCAAAGCTGCTGCTCTTACATCAAAAATAGGCAAATGCTATCATGTCAGCCGAGGGCTTAAGAGTGAAAAGTTATTTCTTACCGATTCTATAGGTTTGTCTAAAGATGCCTGCTCAATCTCCAGGTGTCCTTCTTCATACTGATCAAAGTGATTACCCTGCAAGAGAAGAACCACACATTATTCCACCAATGCATCATAAAGAATGCTAAAAGGTCCATAACAATGATTAAGGTCTGTGATTTCCCTGCCATTTAGAAAACCACTCACTCACTTGATCATGTTGTAATTTTGCATTCCCTCTGAATTATCATGGTTTCTTATTTTCATTTCACTTGCACAGAACCATCAGAGATGGCCAAGGAACACTTGCATCATTTTATTTTTTATTTTTAAACTAAGAAAACCAATACAATTAATATAACAATAATTATAACTAAACATTACTGATTGACACAATTAAACAATACATTAATATCAGTGCTACCTCCACCAGGACCAACAACTCTAGTTACTTAGTGTAAGATCATTTATTAATTCAGGTTGCCCTACTTTCCTTCCAGAACTACACTTGACTCTTGTGGTGGTTCACACCCTTTTCCGTTTATCAAAATGTATTCAATAAAAGGTCTCCAAATGTTTTCAAATTTATTTTCACTTATCAAACCTTTTTTCCATTTAATATCACAAGTTAACTTATCATTAATACCTATATTCCAGACTGGCATCACTTTCAAAGGGAAACAACAAGGAGTGCAAATCCTTAGAATAATTTATTCTAATGAGCATCTAATTTAGCTTGCATTGCCTCAATAACGAGACAGAATTCAATACATTTTACAGCAACTGAAACTGTTTTATTTGGCATTAAATATTCTGAGAGTACCAACTGGTACAACAGATCACTAAACAACATTAAGTACTCAACAAAGCAACCCAGGCAGGTTAATATAGCTGTGCTGCACCACATGCTGTATATGGCTGCTTTACATCCTGAGAACTTCTTCCACACAGACGGTGAGCTGATGATTTTTAAACAAGATAAAGAAAGATTTACAGAACTCGAAAGCCTGTATCATCAGTCATCTTTGATACTATTGTTCAAGTTAAGAAAAGAACCTTGTACTTTCAGAATCGTTTTCATTTTTTTTTAATGACAAGGTTTTTCTCTTTTGCAATACAAAAAAATCCCTTTGGGGACACATGTGCACCATGTCCAGGACCATCTCTAAAGTTGGGGGAGGCTACAGTAGAAAAAAAAATTGAGGAAATTCTGCTGGACTCTGTGCTCAGAACAACTGGCTATCCCTTTTTTGGACTACTATTCACACATCCCTAACTATATATACTACCTACCCTTGACTGCTGTATCATCTGTCCTACTTGATAGTCCTTGCTAAAAACCTACAGGTTTCACCTACCCCCAAACCTAGATATTTGAAAGACAAATAAAAAGGCAAATTTGTATTTCTATTTCATGCCAGTGTACAGAATACATATTCTTCATTTATTTTCACAGCCACTCTATGAACTAATAAGATCACTTACAAATCAAAATTGATTTTCACTCATTTAGGGGTAATGAGAGAAAAAATGACCATCTGCTTAGCTCCTGATGCACATATACACCTCCTTTTCCTCCTCATAATCTACTAATCATGAGAGTCAAAGAAATAACATATGGAGCAGTGGACAATATACTGCTAGTATACAATGATCCTAACTAACTTAATTTCTAAACTGTCATCCCAAATTTTACTTCTAATATGTTTTACCTCAGATTTAAAGGAAACAGTAATTATGCTTGCATCTGGTGAATAAATGCTCATTTTGCAATAAACCAGTTAATCTATCATGTTCTAGAATATTTTTAAAATTAAGATGATTGAGTTTATTAAAATGAAACAAACTAATAATTTGAAAGCAAGTGGGAAGGTGTATTCTTCAGAGCCTGCCAGTTTTCCCACCCCTTCAAAATTCAAGATTTTGCAGTTCACTGATTATACAGAGAAGATATTTCCCATTCTACAGCTTAACATAATATAGTTCAGAGTCACATAATAAACTAAGTACTCTTAATCAAGAATTACCCTGTATCCTAACACGAAAGGGGGAGTGAAGCATGAATTTATGAATATCGGACAAATAAGGAAGGCATAAAACCTGACTTTACATTAACTTCAGGGTCTGCTGCTGTAATCAAGACAACTAGTGGTTTCCACAGTCCTAGATTCTTGAAAGAAAGTTCTTTGCCAGAAAACATGTGTAAGTGTGTCTTGCTCTTTCATCTCTTTATCAAGGATTTATGGCAGAGAACATCCAACAGAGTCCATAAAGCTCTCTGGTCCCTGCCCTCTTCCCCTGCAAAAACTTTTTAATACGAAAACCTTGGAAAACATTGTGAACCTTCTTTCTCTTCTTTTCTAGCCAGCAGCTTTGTTTTTTCTCTCCTCTCTACTCCCTTTCCTTGTTATTTCCTCTTACCTTCTACCTTTTAGCCTCACTATTTCCCTTCGGCCCCCATCCCACTTCTTTTAGCTGACTTTTGACTGGTCAGGCCCTTATGGCAGTCATTGTGCAACCAGCCACATTTGTCTGTGAAGGCTCCTACTCTATAAATTGTCACCAAAAGCCACTTGCTGAAAAACTTAATTTTGTTTTTTTGTTTCCTTCTTCCCTCCCCATTCCTTTTTTCTTCTGTGTCATTTCTTTTCAGATTATAGGGCTACAGGCAGGGATTCTCTTGTTTTTTATCTGTAAACCACTCTTGGGATTTTTTTTGGCTGAAAACAGTATAAAAATATTTCAAATAAATTAGCAAGATCAAACTTTGAGCAACCACTTCTAATTTACTATTCACTTCATGCATAGAACCATCTTCTGCCAGAAATCAGATCCCCTAGTTCCAAGTTCTTAAGGCAAAGACAACTTGCCAAACATGGAAGAATGTGCAAGTTGCTAGAAAGGTGCAAATCAGATACCTTTCTGATCTGTAGTTTGCCAGAAAGCCAATATCACTGTGTTCAAGTATCCCCAGTTCCTAAAAATTCCACCAAACTTTTAGATAACATTTAGAATTTGGATTTACTGGAATATATTTTCTGGAAAATATAGAATCAGAAAGTTTTTGTCTATATGAAGCTTTACATTCAGTAAGCATTTAGCATTCCTAAAGAACTATGTGCCTAAGGGTGTAATCCTATGCCCCCTCAACAGTACCAACCCCAGAACACTTTGGATCTGAGTTTGCAAACAGCATTCCATCTCTGGAGGAGGGAATCCATGATTTCCCCCCCTCACAGAAAGAACCACAACTGCTCTGCTGAGGTCAGGAACATAAGAGATGAGGAAGAGAGGATGGGAAAGCAAGGAGACCAGAGAGGTCAGGACATGAGCTATCTTGGGGCCTTTCTACCCTCCTTCCCTTTGAATGTTTTCAGAAGATGGGCAAAAAATACTTTTAGCTAGTCAGACCTGACAAAAATACAGGTGGGAAGACGGGGAGGGAGGGAAATCCTGAATAGGATGATCACTCAGTCTCCCAGTTTTGAACTAGGGGATTCAACCCACAAAACTGTTTTCTAAGTACATGTGCACAAGGACAGTCATCTGAAAAAAGGACGGTCCTAAGGAGGATCACCTCAAAAAAACTAATTACAGTTTTGATTTTAGCATTTGATCCATATTGTCTTACCTGTTCCAACTGCCAAATTTGATATATAGTTGGTTCATTATATACCAGCTAATGTTATGAAATCATTTATTAAAATGGAAAAATCTCCAAAGAAAAAAGAAGAGTACCAGGGAATTTCAGCTCCATTTATAACAGTGAGTGGAAGGGAAAGAGGAAGCCATGCACACTGGCAAGGTCTCCCCCTTCAGCAGTTCCCAGAAAATGTGGACCCTGTGTTCAATTTGTAGCTGAGCTAAAACAAACCCTAAATTGGTTTGAGCTAAAAAGGATTATTATTCCAGCCACCCAACAGCTCCTGCTGCTGTATCATCTATCTAGACTTGACAATGCTAGAAGAAATCATTTAGCAGCACTACATGTAAGAAAGCAGGTCAGCTTACCATCCTGATGTGCTGGTCAGCCATTTCTTTGCATTTAATTATACTATACTCAGGGATCCAACAAAACTCAGCACAACAGTTCAGGGAATTAAGACCCTCCAACTGAGGAAGATGACAGAAACTGATATGTGCAAAATAAAGATGAACAAATTGAACAATGAAAGAGACGTGCTAGATCACAGACTCTGGAATGTACTTCCCAGAGAAGTACACCTGGCACCAAGTTTATACTCTTTTCGGTGCCGGGCCAAAACCTTTTTATTTAAATGGTATTTTAAATTAACAATTTTTAACCTTAGTCGCTCTTATTTGTTTTGTGATTTGTTGTTTTGTCCAGTTTCAATGTATTTATTAGAAATTGTTGTTTTAACTGTTCTTTTAAATATTGTAAGCCACCCTGAGATTTTGGTATAATAGAATGGCATAAAAAAGCTTTTAATAAATAATAACTAGATCAGGCCAGGTCCGTATCTAGCCCAATATTGTCTTCATACATTAGCCAATCAGATCCCATTGAAAGCCCAGAGCAGAATGTGACTATAAAAGTACAACAGATTCCCAACTTGCATATAAAGACATACTCCATGCTATTGACATTTACTATCCATGGGTTTTCCTATTTCCCATTTAATTCCCATCCCTGGAAGTTATTACCCACAGCAACAGGTCATGCTGGAACTCTCTCTGGGCATGTCGCATAACCATGAAGAGAAAAGAAGCCATGTTGTTTCATTTCTGTGAGCCATCTAAATCACGTAATTGCCCTCACTGGGTATAGGTTGTTGTGACATTTGAACCTGGTGTGGGCAAGTGGCTAGGACAATTTAAGAACCACTCTGAAAACTTAGATGAAGCCACAGGGGTGAACTTCATCTCTTTTTAAATGCTAATGACATCAAGTCCTACAGCCAGAAATCACAGTCAAACAGACAAGGACACTCCAGGAAAAGTGAGCTGGGTTCTTACCATTTACCGGCTCCCTCTACCCGATTGTTCTTTCCTGTCAGTTTGCCTGTTGCTCCTGGCTTCTGGAGAACCTGCCATAGCTAGCAAAAGATGACAGAATTTCTCCCAGCCCAAACGGA